TGATCTTAATTCCACGACCTCCATGCCCCACCACACTGCACCCACCCTCATCACACCTCAACCACACCAAACTACACCTTCCAAACCTCACCCACACCCCCTCCACACCTCACCCACACCCCTCCACCTCACCCACACCCTCCATCTCATCTACACCCATCACCTCCCACCACATCTCCTACACCTCCCACATCTCACACCTCCCACACCTCCCACCCACACCCCTCCCACACCTCACCTACACCCCCACACCTCACCCCACACCCTCCACATCTCCCACCACCTCCATCCCCTACACCCCTCCACACACCTCACCTACACCCCTCCACACCTCACCCACACCTCCCACATCTCCACCCTACCCATCCACCTCCCACCCACACCCATCCACACACCTCCCACCCCACACCCTCCCACCTCACCCACACCTCCCCTCCCACCCCACCCATCCACACCTCCACCTACACCTCCACATCTCACCTCCCCTCCACATCTCACCCTACACCCTCCCACCCCTCCCACATACCCCACCTCCACATCTCACCTACACCCATCCACCTCACCCACACCCTCATCACCTACACCCTCCATCTCAACTACACCCTCCACACCTCACCTACACCCCTCCACCTCACCTACACCCCTCCACCTCTCCCTAACCCATCCACCTCACCTACACCCCCCACATCCTCACCTACACCTCCACACCTCACCTACACCCCTCCAACCCTCACCTACACCCCTCCCCTCACCTACACCCCTCCAACCTCACCTACACCCCTCCCACACCTCACCTACACCCCACACCACCTACACCCTCCACACCTCAAATACACCCCTCCACACCTCACCTACACCCCTCCCACCTCACCATACACCTCCCACACCTCACCTACCTCCACACCTCACCTCCCACACCTCACCTACACCCCTCCCCCCCTCACCTACACCCCTCCCCCTCCTACCTCCCACCTCTACACCCCTCCCATCTCACCCCACCCCTCACATCTCACCCCTACACCCCTCCCACACCTCACCTACACCCCTCCCACACCTCACCTACACCCTCCCACACCTCCCACCCTCACCCTCCCATCTCACCTACACCTCCACCTCACCTACACCCTCCACATCTCCACCACACCCCTCCCACACCTCACCTACCCCTCCCACCTCCACACTCCTCACCTACACCCCTCATCTCACCCCTCCCATCTCACCTACACCCCTCCCCACCTCACCTACACCCCTCCCTCTCACCTACACCCCTCCCACCTCCCTACACCCCTCCACACCTCCCACCTACACCATCACCTCACCTACACCTCCCACATCACCTACACCCCTCCACACCTCACCCCCACCTCCCATCTCACCTACACCCCTCCCCTCACCTACACCCCTCCCACACACCTCCACCTACACATTCTACACCTCACCTACACCCTCCCATCTCACCTACCCCTCCCTCCACCCCACCCCTCACTCACCTACACCCCTCCCACCTCCCCCTCCACCATTCTACACCTCACCTACACCCCTCCCATCTCCCTACACCCCTCCCACCTCCCACACCCCTCCACATCTCCACCTACACCCCTCCACTCTCACCTACACCCCTCCCACATCTCCCCTCTCCACACTCACCTACACCTCCACATCTCACCTACACCTCCACACCTCACCTACACCCCTCCACCTCACCTACACCCTCCCACCTCACCTACACCATCACCCTCTCACCTCTCTCACCTACACCCCTCCACATCTCACCCACCCCTCACATCTCCCACCTACACCCCTCCACATCTCACCCCTACACCCCTCCACATCTCACCTACACCTCCACCTCACCTACACCCCTCCACATCTCACCTACACCCCTCCCACATCTCACCCACCCTCCACATCTCCCCTACACCCCTCCCATCTCCCCACCTACACCCCCTCCCCACACCTCACCTACACCCCTCCCACCTCCCACCTCCCACATCTCACCTACCCCTCCCATCTCACCTACACCCCTCCCCTCCCTACACCTCTACCACACCTCACCTCACATCTCACCTACACCTCCCATCTCTCCCCACCCCTCCACATCTCACCTACACCCACCCACATCTCACCTACACCCTCCCACCTCACCTACACCC